TCATATTTTTTTTGTCCAGGTAATAATTTCTGCTAATTTAACATTAATCCGTGACAGAATGCTTGGACTAATTTGCAACAAAAAAAAACTGGTCTGCCGGCCGGTAAACACGAACACGTGCTCTTTGTATTGGTACAATTTTGAAATAAATATGGAATGAGTAATGAACTACAATTAATAAATTATGAAAATATTTACCAGAGGATCTGATAAACTATTTTGTTTTTTTATTTCTATTTTTCTCCTATTTTATGTTTCTCAATAGGTTCAGGGTGTTTAATACTACATTAATTATAATTCATAACATATTTTATCTATATATTTTTAAGAAAAATAATGAAATTTTTCTGTACATTTTAATTGTCTGGAATACAGTTGCATTGTTATTTAAAATCATTAAAACTGTCTTTACCACAATGTTTCCATACTTCCAACATAATGATAATAATCACAAATATTTCACAAATATGTCTGTTAAATGAAATTAAAATATATAGAACATTAAGGGTATAAAATGAGCATCATTTTGCATTCGACATGCCCAGTAATAAAGAATCTGGGGAATTTGAAGTTTTTGTCAAAAAAGTTGTTTGGTATATCTAGTGTTTACGAAGATAGTTGAAACCGTATAAAAACTAAAAGTCGGCATCTCTTTCCGGGCACAATAAAGAGATGCCGACTTTTAGTTTTTATACGGTTTCAACTATCTTCGTAAACACTATAATAAATGTTTAAATTTTTGATAGTATCAAGTATAGTATTCCTCTGTTTCCACATCCAATATTTTATTAAAACACTGTAGGTCATTATATTATTTTTCTGTGCAAATATTAAAATTATCTGACAATTCTTGTTCATTGCACATATTTTCCCTAATGCGGCTCTGGACGATAATAGGCTTACCAATGTCCTGAGAATATATAGTTACCGATTAAAGAAATCTTTACGTCGATTGCTATGTGGTATTATGAAGTTGTTCTAGTTTGGCATTACGCTAGTAGAGACCGCCACTTCCTGGATGGATTTTCTACTATCTATCAGGTGCTATCGCTGTCTTACCAAAAGTGCGATTTCTTGTCTATAAAACGGCGCCCTTAATATGCAATTTCCCGGCCTTGTAACGTAAATAACTTTTACAGTATTACAAATTACAATTACAATTAAAAATTTTACAGTATTAAATTACCTACAATATTTGTCAAACGTAACCAAATGTCGTATCATATCGATGGTGCATATCGATACATACGGAGGCATGTCTTCATTTGCCATATATTCGTCGAAGCTATACAGTGGATACACCGTGTGGACTTATAGGCATCAATATTCTGATACAGTTAAATAATTTTAAGTCGCGAAAAAAATTCATAGGAGCACAAATTTAGGAAACGGATGACATCAGAAAATTGAAATTAACTTTTTTTTGAAACAATGCGTTTCAGCGCCATGCAACAAGAACATCTTTTTACAGTAAATATAGCAGCATTATAAACATTATATCTTTTCAAAACGTTTCCACCAACAAACAAAATAAAATCGTTTCTCGTTTTTCTAACATCATCTAATTGTAAGCTTTAGTTAAAGAATAAGCTTCAATCTTCAACTTTCCCAAAAACATGTAATGAGTTAAACGGCGAAATGTTAATAAACGCAACCCACAAAGAAGTCAGGCGAAGATTTGTCTTGAAATGAGATGAGAATAGATTGTAATATGTATGTAGTATGAAAGCGTTTGCCTTTTGTTTTAACTGTATTAAAGAATTATCGAGTTTAATCCTTTTATTTATTCTTAATAACATTTATGCACTTTAAACAACGAACATTCAATTATTTTCCAATGACTACTTGATCGTTCCACCGCTAATGTGATTTTTAAGTGGTAAATCTTTTGAGACTCTTTAAGACAATATTGCTTATTATAACTTTTAAACGGGAAGTAATCAGGGATGGGCGGGTAGACAATGTCGACGTAGACAATGCAATTGTCTACGCGTAGACAATGATNCAACAACTGTCATAATTAAACAACGATAATTGAATTAGGAATATCACGGTGCACTACTACATTCTGAACAGTACTTAATACACATATTTTGATAATAGTCCAGATAATATAATCGATAATATAATTACTAGAAAAGAAAGGATTAGGCAAATGCCATTCGGTATCAGTCAAGACTGTCTAAACTAAAATGGAGCGTGATAAGATAATTAAAATTTCCTAAAAAGTGGCAGTTTTTTTTAGAAGCAGGGGAGTCAGTGTCTCCCTAAGATTTTTTTAAGATATTTTTCACAAACTGATTTTTGTATGTTTTACTAGTTATTAGATCCAGTATAATTTTAGAAACCATAATTCTGAATACAGAATTTTGTATGTAATAATTACTGTTGCTTGTTGAAGAATGACTTCAAGTTATTATTACATTTTTCTTGAGAAGCAAGCCAAATGAGTTCCCCTAAAAATATTTTTTATAATTTAATTTTTCTGATCGTGTTTTAATAGTTTTTAAATGAAATGTTTATTAATTAGCCTCTGTTTAAAAAGTGATTGATTTATGTAGATACTTTACAATTTACAACACATTTTAAAGCAAATGATTCGTTCTCGCATCGTCACGATGAAATAGGTACGGTCACATATTACTAACAATATGTGGTACGGTGGAATACGGAAAGTACAGGTGTACAGTACAACTCGCCGGCATGCCTAAAGTGTTTTTAGATGTGTTTAAACAAAGGGCATGTTTTTATGACAGAATAGGTACCTACTTATTATTAATGTAGGTCAAGGAGGAACTGGAGGCAAATACGCTGTGAACAAATGAAATGATGACTTACTAATTAACAATATTTTGTAAATTTGATTATACCAGTTAGATTTTTTTTACAGTTATTTTTGGTTTTACTATAACTGCTTAATTATATGCCTAATTAATAACGATTGTATAGCATCAGTATTTCGTACTTTTTTGGCGGCAGATTAACAAGCGTGCGGTGTATACTAATTTGCTTAACATTATAATTAACATTTTTGATAAAATTTTAAATCAAATGTAGAGTTTTCTTATATACAGGGTGTCTCATAATTAGTGTCCAATAATTTACCACTTGATTCTATTGCGAAAAATAAGAATATTTTTTCAAATAAACATGGGTCGAGAAATGTTTCCTAAGGGAGCTACACCCCCTAAGTAGGGCCTAAAAAAAAATTATTTTTTTTAATATTTTCGAAACGGGTTGAAGGAAAATTATGAATGTTGATACCATGAACGCTCTTAAAAGTCGAAATAGATCATCATAAAATTTTTCAAAAATTTTAATCATCTCAATTGGGGGGGGAGGCCGTCGGTTAAAATTTGCCCCTATTTTTTTGTTTGCCGAAATTTTCAAATTCAGATCAAAATAACATCACCATTTTTTCATAGAAAACTCAAATCAATCAAATTTTGTAGCAACAAATGCAACATGCAAAAATTTGAACCGATTCTCCCCCTCCCCTTGCTCGGGACGGCCCGTAACAAAGTTTTCTAAGCACTTTTCACGTTGTTTATTACAATGTATATTGATATGATGACATATGAAAATTCATAATGGTACATGTGCCCATTTTAGCCATTCAAAACAAATTTTTTGAATTTTATTAAGGTAACGTAATGAATTGCTTAAAATTGCTTAAATTCTTTTCTCGGAAATAGAGCATTTTATCCAAAGAACTAAAGAGTACCTCTTTTGTAAAGGAAATGAATATCTATCATATGTTGGCATGAAAACTTGAAAAGTCGGCATCTCTTTCCGGGCACAATAAAGAGATGCCGACTTTTAGTTTTTATACGTTTTCAACTATCTTCGTAAACACTATAATAAATGTTTAAATTTTTGATAGTATCAAGTAGGTATAGTATTCCTCTGTTTCCACATCCAATATTTTATTAAAACACTGTAGGTCATTATATTATTTTTCTGTGCAAATATTAAAATTATCTGACAATTATTGTTCATTGCACATATTTTCCCTAATGCGGCTCTGGACGATAATAGGCTTACCAATGTCCTGAGAATATATAGTTACCGATTAAAGAAATCTTTACGTCGATTGCTATGTGGTATTACGAAGTTGTTCTAGTTTGGCATTACGCTAGTAGAGACTGCCACTTCCTGGATCGATTTTCTACTATCTATCAGGTGCTATCGCTGTCTTACCAAAAGTGCGATTTCTTGTCTATAAAACGGCACCCTTAATATACGATGCATGTCAAAATTCTTGATATGTTTTTTTGTTGCATTTTTTGAGGCCTAGATGCTCGCAAAAACAAATTTGAGATCCATGGCCAACTTCATGAGTAATCATAAAAAAACCGGAAAAGTACAGAAAGTTTAGGGGCGTCTAACTTTTTTATTTTAAGAGATAGAGAAATTTATTTTAATAAAATTTCATGGCAAAATTGATATCTTTCACCTGGTTTAAACAAATTTTTGAGGTCTCGGATGTAATTTGCTGCGCCCTCCACGCAGACAGAAAAAAATGTCATCGAAGCAGGTTGTGGATAAAAAAAATTGCTCCCGTCTTCCTCTTTCATGCGATATACTACAGATTGCCTTTATCTTTTAAATTTATTTATTATTTTACAATTTTGGTATAAAAAATGTAAACATTCAACTGTTAACGTTGAAATTGTTATAGACATGTCAACTACAAAAAATTTAATAAATATAATGTACTTCTTTTAAGCAACACTCTGTAGGGTAAAGATGCATATTATGAGATAGTTCCGAATATGAGACACCAAGCTTTCTCGCAAATTAGGCAATTTTTTGAAAAGCGCGCCACTGTTCGTAAAGGTATATAGAAAACAGAAAATTATTAACAAGACAGTGTTGTTTATCATTAACATAAAGCTAACATGACGTAGTATCTATTTATCATGCCGTTGAGCCAATTTTTTTCATGCTTTTACCAGCTAACCTAAAACTGAATAAAATTTCTTAACCCTTAACCCTAGTATGAGACACCTGAGAGCTCCTAATATGAGATACCTCATATTACAGGACAAGGCGTCGCATATGAAGGTAAAGCATTTTCACCACTGGGTAACTAGTATAGATGAGCGAAACATGAGCGAGAGATGCAAAGATAAGTCTAGTCGTGCAGGATCAGCTAGCTTGACAACATCATCTCTGTACAAACTACAAATAGAAGAAGCTTTGAAGAGAAAAAAAGAAAAGGAGGCAAAAAAAAACAAAGAAAGCCAAGGAAAAGTGCTGCAAAAGGAAAAGGAACTGAGAAAAGGCCTGTGAAAAAGATAGTTTTTACTGAATCATCAACGTCCAGTGAAGATGATGACACTGTTTCGCACACCACGGATATTTCTTCAGAAGACGAGGAAGACGATGCAGAGTGTCCATATTGCGCCGGTTTGTATTCCGAAAATGCGCGAGGTGAAAAGTGGGAGAAATGCCAGGCCTGTTAGAACATGGGCACATCTAGAATGTGGAGAAATAAAATCAAAAAAGTTTATTGTGCCGTTTGTTGTTAAGGTTGAAAACCTAAACTTGTTTTTTATTTTGTTCACAGAATTACCTATTCGTTGTTTTAAGAGAAAATGTTACTTTGTTTAAAGAAAAAAATGTTTTTGTTTTTGAAAAAGCCATATCTAAACATGTTTTATGTTCTGTTTATTCAATAAAAATATGTTTGAGCAAACAATAGGTCATTTTCAGCTTTATTCCCTAATTTGAGATAGTCTCTTATTGAAAACCCATACTGTCTCAAATTGGGAACCCCTTTTTCGATTAGGCAAATATTACTTTTCTGATAAAATCTAACTTAAAACCTAAAATACAAATTTGAGGCGTTCTCGCGTTTTTTTGAAGGATCTAGATTAAATTCCCTACAGAAAAACGTTAATTTTCCAAGAAAAATGTTAAAATTGAAAAAACCATGATTTTTTTAAAAAATGTGTCTCACAATAGGCATCTTTACCCTATAACATCAAAATTTGTAGTTTGAAAGCAAAAGTCCACACCCCAAAAATAATCAAAGTCGATTAATACATATTCGAGTTATTTACAAAATTCAAAATATTTTCACTAACTTTGAGGCCATCTAGCCGCCAAACGAACCGATTCCGGATATAGGTGAATTAACCTAAATCTGACTATTTTGAGTCGACGAATTTGTGGTCTTCCGTGTACACGTTATTCTGGAACACCCTGTATATTGCCGCAAACTCAAGATTCCCAAAATTTTTAAAATAACTACAAGGGTCGTATTTCGTAATTAGATAAAATCCAGTACCTGAAAATTTTATTTGTGAAAAAGTAACAAATAATTCCCGACGTTGAAAAATTTTTTTCGAACTATCCTTATGTTCAAGTATATTTGTCATTGAGACCGTTTTTATGTAGAATTGTCCAAGAAATCTAAAAATGAATCCCAAATGGTAATTAGGTTATTGGCGTAGAAGTTGGGGTAAAAAAATTCCGCTTTACTACCCATTCCTATGCCTCTGACCTACAAAAATTTCTAAATTTTGCAGTAAATTATGCACATATGTCAATGTTAATACTACACCAAATTTGAATCAATTCGTTATAAGCATAGCAAATATTTCATAAATAATATGATTTAAAAAACCGACTAATACGGCCCTATACAGTGAAAACGGTGAGACTTAAGACCCTCGCTTTATAAGGCAATTCTGAATTATTTATTGAGTTATATTTGTGGTTAAAGTTTGATTCACTCGAACTGAAACACCCTGTATATAAGCGTAATTTTTTATTCGATCTTTTATATGAAAAGTAAATTAACCGTACCATTGAAAAGTTTAGACTTCCAACTTGAAAATGGGCTATCACAATTATTAATTACAATTATTAATTTTATCCAACACTTGTATATAATGATGCTATAATTTCTTTGGTTTTAAAGGAATAATGTGGCTTATAGGTCGCTCATTTATTTTCATGCGTACGAGTTTAATTTTAATAATTTTAATGGACTATGGATTTCGATTTCATGGTTGAAATTTAATAAAATCTCAAACGATTTCTGCCGCGTCAATCAATATTTTAACACTCAAAATATAAGAGGTGGCTGAAATTGCTCAATGTTTTTATCCAGCATATCAGAAAATCTAAGCAAGTTAGAAACAATATCTCTTCACTGTTTCGGTTATGCAAATTTTCTTCAAAATAAGGGGAAAAAACGTGTATTTTTATCTTGTGTGTTTATTTTACGTTTCCTGAATTTTGCGCGCCTGTCGAACATATAGAAAATTGCGTATGGTACTATAAACACAATCACACCCCGCAGAATGCTTTTAGGAAACTATTAACACACACATTAATCACAATTATTGAGTGTCTTTACAAATTTGTTGGACAAAAACAGGAAAAGTACATTTTCTAATGTTTACTTGTTCTCCGTCATACTGCGAAAAATGAGGCGAAAAATTAAAGGAATATTTTCAATATTTTCATAGTTTAGATGGATTTTCTTGTTCTATCATTGTCTTAATAAAAGTGTGACTGTCTATAATCTATAAAACGCCAGCCTTAAGTTGGTAATTGATAAATGATACATAGTTACAAAGATCGATACTTTAGGAATGTAACCCATTATGTGTGATTTTTAGATTTTAGGAATAGTTTCCTAGTATTTTCAGTGCATATAAGACCACTTTTTATGTACCTGTGTAATTGACTAAAACTTTTATTTCTGCAAATATTTAATTTTGAATTAAAATTGCCTTTTTTATTGTTTCAGGACTTCATTTAGAATATTCATAATGGATACCATGTTATTTACGTTTATCATTCTTTTATACTTCTCATTTGTATCTTCAGGTAAGAAATTCAGTTGTAACGAAATCTTAATTTTATTCTGGAATTTTCAAGTGTTTATAACTTTTTAATTCGCAGCTACAAAGTTTACTACAGAAAAGAAGTTATACCGGTATACAAACGGTATATCACATATATAATTATACTAAAAAAGAACAACGTTTAGAGAATGGTAAATAATTATTTAAAAACAAAAAATAAAAATAGTTTCAAGAAGAACTGAAGGTTAAAACCGCAACACAATATTTTTTCATTTAGGTACACAGTTCTTAATATTTGGCCGCTTTTATAATGACGGATAAAATTTGATACTCTAGATATATCCATGGCACAGTTGCTTATATCATGAAACATTTAAATTACCTACAAATAAAACATTTCGTAGGCACTTAATTTTATTTTTTATTTGGAGCACTTTAAACAAAGACCAACAAGAAACTCATCCTCGAGTTGAAACTAAAATTTCCTCAATTGAAGGATTTAGGTGGACTTCTTTTAAAACTCGAATAAATTTTTGTTTACTAATAACTTATTACTATTTCCATAATATTTCAGATAAGTACAATATTTTGCCACCTATATACGAAATGGAAGATTACCTAGAGTGTTTCGAGAGAAATGATTCTTACTGTAAAGTAGATGCAAGATTAACGAACAATGGATATGAAAATAATAGTCTGTGGAAGTCGATTAATGTAAATTCTTATAGATCTAAAGTGAGTTATCATTAAAGAATTACTAATATATAAAATTTCTAGGATTCCATCAAAGATAGAAACAGCTATGACCGGACTATTATTCACAGGGCTATATGTCTTCCGAAAAGAGAAGTTAATTTGAATTCGACTAAGAAGTTTTCTGAATTACATATAAATGAGAAATTTATCGGAAATAATTTAACTGCATCGGTGGAAAACGTCTTTTGTATTACAAAAGATATTATTAACATATCCTTATATGACAAATTGATACTGTAAGTTTTTACTCCCTAAATTATTTAGATAATAAGTTTATTATTACGCTATTTTCAAATCAAGTTTGCTAAAAAAAACTACATTCAATATTTAAGAAATAATTACCTGAAATTGGCGATGGATGGAATATAAATTATTTTATTTTCAATAAGCAAACCGAGAAAATCAATTTGGAACATTGGAGCCAAACAAATCACTGTATATGTTATGTAAATTGACTTTTTTAACAATACAAAATTTTAAAGGCAGACTTAGTCTTTAGATCACCAAAAACCACAACAAGGCTTTGAAATTTTGTTTCTATTTTTCTCTCTCATATGAAAGTTTGCCTAAAAGGAGTTGCTTATTTTCGCATTTTATATCACCCTTTTCAGAAATGTATTTATTTATTAAACGTGTTATAGTGTATACTAAAACAGAATCTGATTTTTTAGATTTTCTTTCGTAGCATATTTACTTTTAATTTTATATGCCACAATGTATGATACATGGAAGAGGACAAGTACAGTTGAAAGCACTAGTAAGTACAATACGATTATATTGCACTAATGATTTGGTAATGAAACATTTAAAAAATTTAATTTAAAAAGTCCGTAGATATTACGCCGCTAATGAATTAAAACAACAAAATAGTACTATATACCAAAATATTTGGGATTTATTTAGAATTAATAAAATTGTGAAAAATATTTCCCCCTTTGAACTAATCTACTAATTTTTTTTGTCTGACAAAAATTTTTTGTAAAATTTTCTTATTTGTAATAGTTTTCGTTTAATAATTTTTTTAATATATTATTAATGCATTTTCGATTCAAACTTGAAATAATTGCGTCATTTCTAAAGTAATTTCTTTCATAACAGAAACGAAATAACTTGTATTATTCTCTATTATATAACAATATTGTTAATGTATAACATATAATATCTATAACAATAGACTATTTTCTCTTAAAAACTGTACACTCACATAATATTCTATTTTAAGATCTCCTAAAGAAAATCGGACGTGGTGGCTAGTGTATCATGAAAAATATCCAAATCGTCCAATCCTAAATATTCAAATTTTCAGAAATATTAAAAGGTGTCCAGTCAGTCATGATGGACATCCGCGTAATGCTCGAACACTCTTTGTGGAAGAACCCAGCAAGCAGTGCCATATTAATACACGGGCAGACTACAGTTTCCAAAAGTACAGTGAACATCACGGTGAACAGTGATATTTTCAGCGTGAATTTAGTATAAACGTGTGGATTAGTTTTATCAGTAACTTTTTGCTTTGTCATATTAGATTACCAAATCGTTCCTATGGTAACAGTTATTAAGATTTTCTGCAAAATACTCTGCCGGAATTGTTTATCGATCTGCTATATAAATCTACGTAACCCCCTGTATTTTGTGCATATCGGAGCACTACCGCACTTCTTTCCGAAATCAGTTGAACATGTATTAAAAAACCGAGCAATCAAATTTAATGAGTTTCATAGGCGTCCCTAAAAAAGTTTTCTGCTATAGGTAAAAAATTATAATAATTTGTATATAATGTGTAGAAAATTTCTATGATATGTTCATTTGACCAACAACATATTTTAATTATTTATGTCCTCAAACAATTTTATTATATTGGTGGTAAATTTCGTTTTGTTTCGTTTCAAAAGATCTCCGAAATGCCATGTTGTAATAATATTTCTATCACGCGCGCTCGCTATGGGACCTATAGCGTAGGGAAGGGATTACGTGCATGGAAAGTGCTAGATAGTACAACGGCGTGATGTTATTTGGAGCGTTGCGTTGCGCTATGAACATAACATCACGCCGTTGTACTATCTAGCACTTCCCGTGCACATAACCCCCTACGCTATAGGTCCCATAACAACTCGCACTTACGATAGAAAATAGTATGTGCAACTCGTTCGTAAAAGTTGCCATAGCGCCACTTGAGCGCTTTCCACACTCGTTTCGCTCCTGCGTCAACTGCGCCCGCGTGGCGCTATTGGCAACTGAATCACACCAAATTCCGCATTGCTGCACTGCACTGCCAGGCGACTTGTCGACAACTAAAATGTATGACGCAGTTGACCAGAGCAACAGTGCGTATTGCTGTTTGCCCGCACACCCGTTCTTCAACTGAGTGTATACATTTCTACCACCTCCACGTTTAGCTCGACCAGACCTGTATATGGGTATGGCTAAATAAATATGGGAACAAGTTTTTCAAATATTTCAATGCCGAGCTGCAGCATCAACGACCTAACCTGGTACATAGAGTCATCCTCGTAGCTCTTCAATTTATATCGGAAAGACTATACCCTTTCAAATTAATACGCAGGAATCGCGATGCTTCAATTCACTGGCCACCATGTTTACCACGCTTAAATTCCTGTTGAAAGAGAGGGAAATTTTACGTCCGAATTCTTTTGATATCTCGACTGATATCTTAGCTAGGATTGGATCTCGAACCAGTTGATCTTTATGTTTTTGGGGTCGCTGATCACGATCCCAGTGTCCCTATGACCCCATCACGTCTAATGGAGATCAAACACATCAACCCGAATGATACAATATTTTAAAAGATACGACTCATATAAGTTGTGGCAGAAAAGAGAGACGTTACACAAAATAGAAAATAAAACATTTAATCCTAGAATATAGCTGTACAATCTAATAGTATATTATTTTGCAGAGGATAAAGTTATTACAGCACTATCATTAACTTCGAACTGGAGAAAAGTATGTAATACTGAAGGAAATGAAGATCATATCAAATTAAAATCAATCCAAGGAATTAGATTTTACAACATGTTGTTAGTTATCAGTTTGCACACACATCTGAGTTTTTATATAGTTTATATTTCAAATCCTCAAGACATTGAAATAGTAAGTACAAGTCATTGTAGTGAGTAGATGTGGTTAAATTGTTTGTTTTTATGAGTATGGTAACTTTTATAATGGAAATGTCGGTCTTTTTCCAGTGTTGGTTAAGTTTTAATCAGTAATTTCCTATCCAGAACACTTTATCCAGTCGACGTAAAAACTTAAGTAGTAAAGTTTCACAAATATCACTATATAACATTTAGTAGAAATAGGAATCAAATTGGAACACGCTTTTCGTTGGCAGATCATACATAAATTACCAAAAGTAATACAATTGTCGATATCAGGATGATATTTGATACCGATGGTCACATTAATTACATTTCTGCAAATCCTAATAAAATGTTTGGTTTCTTATGCAGAAACCGTGTCGATTTTAAAAATCCAATTTATTAAGTAATGGCTCAATAATTTGAAATCTCAATATTAGGTATGTATATATTAGTCGGCTAGAAATTTAGTAGTATAAAATTTATTTATGTACTTAAATCATAAGTTATAGCTGGTCATTATAGATAGTTTTATAATTAAAAAGAAATTAAATTTATATATTTATTATAAAGAAAATTATATTATATATAACAAGAAATAAAAATATATTCTAATATCAACTATTACTTGAATGGGGTCATTCAGTAAATTTTCAAAAACGTTCTTATTTTGTACACACAAAGTATTGTTCATGATTAGGCGATCCTGAAAATTTCAACTCAATCCGTTGAGCGGTTTTGAAACTATATGATTTTTAAAATGCGAATATTTGTCTCAACCGTGGCAATGCAATGACGTCATCGCTTGGGACGGTCAGCCGGCTTGGCGCTACTTTCAGACGAGTTTCTGCGTCTACAGAATGTTTTAGCGTTTGTGCATATTAAATTTTAAAAATGGAAGCAAATTTCGTAAAAGCAGATTCTTCTAATTTGCCAGAACTAGGTGTGTTAATGGTTATGGATATTTTTTAATAAAAACCACGACTTTATTAGTGCTGAGATGCGAGGAGTGAAAATGCAAAGTTTTTATCTCTAATTTTTCCTTATGTATTCGTTTTTTTATTATTTTTTTTTTTTTCAGTAACACACTCGAAAGTTATGGGTTTAGGACAATTAACAAAAACTCATTTTTTGCGAAATTTACCGACGTTATACAGGGTGATTCAGAACTTATCCAAAAAAAAATAAAAATCTGAATGTACAGGGGATTCTTACATATACAATTTTATAAAGAAAAAATCTAAAAGGGCAGTTCAAAAATGATTTAAAAATACACTTCTGCACGACACTGGAAACTGGTCCACTGTAAAACTTGACCTGGCACAATGCGTCCGTCACGGCGGCACTGTTAAAAAGGGACAAAGACTTGAAAGAATTTCGAAAGAAGTAAATAGCATTTTATAGCACCTATTTTATATCAGCAAATTAAATTTCAATTTTGCCGCTATTGTCATTATTAATTAATAAAATTAATTTGTGATTTTAATTAATAAAATAATTGGACATACCTGATACAACAACTGTTCAAAATTTTGGCCACCGACGTGTAAACACATTTGGGCCCATCTTACTCAGTTTCTACGAACTAACACAAATGCTGTCTTATTTCACCATACACAAATGCTTCACCATAATACAAATGTGCGTGTGTGTGTCTTGCTTCACCATAAATTAAAGCGATATCCATCAACTCCGAGTTGCTATACAAGCCGTTTTTGACACTAACTACTAAAAAACTGTTATAAACACTGTACGACGACGACTGTACAATCGAAGTCGCTGAGGCCACATGGCTCTCCACGCTTATTACGAATGACGCTTGAGACTACAGTTTATTATTATTATTTATTTATTATTTAATTTTAATTCAATCCAATTGCAGGATGAATATTACAGCTACAATAGATACACATTAACACAAGAAACATAAACATTTAAAATAAGTAAAAATAAAAATTACCAAAGAGTACAAACGTTAATCAGAAACAATGTCAGTCAATCAATAAAAAAAATAGCAAAACGGTAAATTCACATAAGAATTAATATATCTAAAAATCATCATAAAAACAACAGAAACAACAACATAAGTAATACAAAAACAACAAAGAAATTAAAAACCGATAACTCAATTGTGAGAATAGAAAATTCTTTTAATATGTGCTATAGAAGTATTGAAAATGTCTAGGCTATTCTCCATGTTATGATAATTAAAAAACATTTGATGTAAAGTAGACCACTGCAACATGTTTTTGCGCGAAGGAGGAAGACTGAACAAACTATTTGATCTGGTATGTACAATTGTCCAGCTATGTAATGGTTGAAAGTACTACAACTTCAATAATTTTTTTCTCGGAAACTATAAGGATTTTACAAACATTTTTTTTACGATATTGACTCAATTTCTCATGCCGCATCAATTCCCAAATTTTTTTGGATAAGTTGCGAATCACCCTGTATTTAGACTTTCTCAAAGTTAAAACAAATTACGAGGAGCGCTTAAGATGTATTCTATGGCAATTTATTTTTTATTTTTTTTTGTTTTAACAATTGTGTCAAAGGTCTATCTTAACATACACACAAAATAATAATTTATCAAAATAATATTAACAGCTCAGAAACAAATACATTTTCCTCCTGTTCTGTTGCTCCTTCGTTATGAAATTGTTTCGTTAGGCCTTTGAAACATTTGTTAAAACACAAAAGAAAATAAAAAAGAAATTGTCATAGAACACATATCAAAAGTTGTGACGTACTTTATGTTACGGACTGAGCTCCCGGTACTATTAGACTACCAACTCTAAACGGAATGTTAATTGGCAATTGAATTCTAATTTACAATATTTATAGGCGTCACTGACGTCCCTGCTTGGGCGCCTAATTTTGTGACGACCCTTAACTACTATTTTATCGGCAGCCGGCGGCGGTGAGTGACGTCACAGGAACATACTCCGGTTTAGTCTTTTTTTGTTCGGTTAGTCTCGGGCGCCAGTTTCCCTATCTTTTACGTGGGGGAAACTACACGTGAACCTTATCCTCGGTTTACAATAAGTACTCGGGATAGCTACAGTGAAGGAAGTTGAATTCCAGGGGTATGTTGTATTTCTCTTACTTTATGATCAAAAGCAGTTCTCTGAGTGTAGTGTTATTTTTCTTTCAAAATGAAATCAGAGTAGGTCACAAAAAGATAGTAAGACCCCTTTTTTTACTGATCGGGATTTTATCAATCTTGTCGGCGTTAAAAATGAATACAACTGGAAATATCTTTACTAAATTTATTTTATTTTATTGAGACCTACGGAAATTGAAACATTCAAAAGTAAAATGGATTCTCCTTACAATTTTATAAACAACTAAAATCAGAAATGTAAAAATAATTTACAAGCGGTATGAATAAAATAAAATTGGTTAGAGCAATTATTTACAACGGAATTAAAATGCCTATTCGGTTTTTCGGTAAGTACAAAATAAATACAAAATTAGAACTTGGTCAAATATCGGTGTTCAGGACAGAAAATCGGTACGGTAAACAGATTCAGTATTAGGCATTTGGTTTATTTTACAATAAACAATCTAATACTTAAAAACGGAACGCCATAAACAGTTATTCGGTTTTAATTTCGGTCGGTGCTAGAAATAAAACAAAAGGTTAACAAATCAGAGTAGTAAATATTCAACAAATATACCGATCCTAAATGTCTCTACAGCAAAGAAAAATAATTACGGGTTACTCTAATTCTACAAATAAATTTAGTCGACGGTTTCTAGCAAAGCAACAGAAATTAAAAAGCGAAGTAAGCAATACACAATTAGCATAAATAAGCAAATAATAATCAGAAAAGGAATAATTTGAATGTAGGTTGTCTCACCTATGGCACACTGATGAGGACTAATAAGTCCGAAACCGGTCTGGGTCTGGTGGGTTAAACTGACGAACGATCCTAGCTGTTGCACTAGGGTATAATTCAATGCCGGTAGGGGCATATAGCCCTCGGAGTAGTTGTTTCTCGCAACACTGACAATTAAAACATTGTCTTCGCCCTCTGTGGGTGGCAATCGTGCAACAAGTACCTGCAATATAGCAGGTCGCTTCCTACTGTAGCCATTTGAATGGCACAGTTGGGAGTCAGCACGACAGATGGAGCCATTTGCGCTCCCGCGTACAAAGGAATAGTTTGGTTGACAGGAGGCAAGTCTATTCGAAGTGCACGTTCGGACGCGCAGTCGGTGATAGATTTCTCCTGAAAGCGGCGTTATTCACAGCCAACTCCCTGGGTTTATCCATCGGTACGACTGGCACTTAATGTCATCTGCTGGCGATGTTATTCATAGTCAACCAGCAGTTTCAGTCAAGGTACCCAACTACGTTCGTCAGAACGAGGGCGATGTTATTCACAATCAACCCGCCGCCTGACAACGCCGCCGCTGCATCGTCCAGCACTTAGAGTTCAAAACTCGGCAGGACTTATCCCAACACAGGATAAGTAAAACTAGGAAAATACAATTTTATTCCGGGTCACTGCTACTGATGGCTAACTCCTTCGGTTTGGATGGCGGTCTGAGGTGACGGTTTCAGGTCCTCGAGGTGTGCCTCAAGAGGGTGCTGGAGATCTTCGAGGTCTGGCAACGAACTGGCTATTTATGGCCAGAAAACCTTGTTTTATGGGCTTGATCCCCCCTTGACTGGCAGGAGTCGTGGTGGGATCGTGCGCCACTCGTCAGAGTAAGGCTAACGGACGGTTTTAATCGGCGCGCGGATAATTGCTCTTAACCAATTGAACTAATTAAGGAAAATAAATAGCTAAAGCCTTACATAAAACTGGAAATTAATAATGGTTCATTACAAGTTCTTCGTAATTTGTGCTAGTCGTAAAAAGAATATACAGGGTCGGAAAGTCCCCATGGTTCATCGGCCGCTACGTGAGAGCGATAAAGTAAGTCATAGAAATCCGTGCGATAGAGAAAGATGGTTATAATGAAGACGTCTAATAGTCACCGCCCATTTCGCCCTTTCACAAATGAGAAGTGGATCTTATTTGTGGAAGGGCGAAATGGGCGGTGACTATTAGACGCCTTCATTCCTTATCGCTCTTCTTTATCTCGCTCTTTTATCTCGCTCTCGTTCTTTATCGCTCTCACGTAACGGCCGATGAACCATGGGGACTTTCCGACCCTGTATAGTCGAAACGTCGGCAAATTTTCCGAAATATTGATTCTTCCCACAACTGTCCTAGAAAATATTATGATTAAGGACACAACTCCCACAATACTCACTACTATGTTATGATAAGGGAATATGTAAGGGAATACGTAAGGGAATGCGTATCTGAGTTTGTCCCATTCTTTATAAAATAAACAATAATAAAGTTATCGTTTTCATAAATTTTTTTGTAAATATTTGTAAATAAATAATTAAATATAATAATGCAGATAAGACATTGAAAATTATAAATAATTATTATAACTTAAGGTTTTTCATATAAAATTTTGTAAATTTTTCAGCTATTCAATACTTCCATAATGCAAACTTTGGCAACTATGAGTGTTTTTTTTGTGCAAACGTTTTTTATGATATCTTCCTGGATTGTAACTTTTCAAATATATAACATTTATAAAAGTCATGGAAAATTCACCATTAATCAGGCCCTTATCCTCATCTTTAATAGATTCTTTAGGTAAGAATTAAATTTAATATTTACTTGTTACTTTGTCATTGTCTACATTTTTCATTCATCAATTCATCATATCTAAATAATACGAAGTTTTTTTAAGAGTAAAAAAATTGATTTCTCATAGAAATTTACATCATTCTATAATTTTATGGTAAATAGAAGGAAAATATGTATATTTACAACATATAATGCAATTTCAGTTCCCATAAGTAAGACATCGTTTGAATATTTATAATGCTAGATAAGCTAATATTTCTTAGATACATAAATTTTAGCATGGAACAATAAAGAAAACTATAAATATCAAGCTCGAAAAAAGCTAATTTATCTTTCACAGGATGTATAAAATTTTTAAGATATTACATATTACAGTTTTATTGCAGTTTTACCATTTTTTTTTGTAATTCAGATTCATATTTTGAGAAAAACATGATTTTGGAATGAAATAGAAATAGTATACGCCATGTACCCCTCGTCACTGAAGTTACTTTTAATAAGTTATGATCATCTTAAAAACAGCTTAAAAAAAGCCATGTTTTATTTATGGTTTTTTCAGTGCTAATTGGTCAATTACGTAAGATTAGTTGAGATCACAGGTAAATAAAACACGACGAAAGTTACAAGATAGTAGAGCTGAAATAATAAGTACCGCATAGTTTGACGCACATCGTTCTCAGCCAACGAAACACCAGTCAATAATGCTAGACTTGAAGATTTTTCAGTAGTTTCAATTTCAAGTTCAGACTATAACAAGATTAATGTATTTTTTTTTTAATTTCGATTTTCGAGTTTAATAATTTTTTTTTTCATGGTTCAAAAAACATTTATTATTATTATAAGAATTAGACGGCTGTCTAAGTTAAAAACCAAATTTCTTTCTTAGACGGGGATGCAGCCAAGGATAAAAAATTTGTTAAATTTTCAAGCTTTCGAAACTATATTTTGTTTCTTCATCAGGAAAAAACTACAATAGGATACAAGTTAAAATTTTCTTATAAAATAGTCAATTTAAAATTACTTACTATGCGAGAATTACATTGAAGTTAGCCAACATAATAGGTATACCTACCGCGGACATAGGTCGTTATCACAAATATTTAAAAACATCACAGGTTTAAAAACGGATAATTGTACAAATATAAAAAATTTTTAAATTCATAACTACGGCAGACTAGAGCCGAAATCAAACAAAATGAACAATATCGCCTGTCTTTTAGGTACGAATATCAGATAAGGAGGAAAAAAGTGAAAAAATATTAAAGTTTTTGTTCCCTTAATACTTATGCGGAGAATAATGGCACGTACATACTGATTCTGCTGTGTTCTCAAAAAAAATGTTGGATTAATGTTTTTGAAGTTTTTGATCCCCCTGTATAAAAAATAAATTATTAATATGCAATATGTGGATCTGTTTTTCAATAAAGCAATATTTTTTAAATTGAATGGCTTCTCCGAAAGTATTAAAAAATAAGTAGAGTCCTAGAATATCCCAGAATGTCGAGTATTAACTAGAAGGCCATGCTTTCATATTTGAACATAAAATTTAGTTCCAAGCAACTTTTCCCCATTACTTTTTCAAGTAGCGTTAAGATTTAAGGCACTTTACTCTTCACTGTTTTTACCTTTTCCAAATTTTTGAACACCCTGTACATTAAATTGAACAAATTACTATCTTGCTAAGGGCTTCTGGGCAAGCAAAAATTTTTATGAAAAATGATTTTTTTTTGACAATTGAACTTTTGTGTCCATTTCAGGTATAGGCAACCCTAACTGGGGACACCCTATATATATATATACCCCAAAAGTAACGGAAAAAAATCGTTAATTTATTTTGTGTTGCGTTTTCACAAAAATGCTAAAACACGTTGCTTAAAACTTTTTTGCGCTATGTTTCACAAACCTATGACGTCATCGACATTTTTTTTTATATAGCACGACCTAATATTTTAAGCATAAATGGATAGCCCTTTTGAAGGGAAATGCGTCGATATAGGGTTTGGCCTACTTCACTTTAACAGGTGCGAAAAAAGCCAACAATTGGAATGGACATGGTTTAAAATAACAACAAAAATGGATATCATAAACTGATGCGACAACAGCGCCACACCAAAAAATGTGTTTTGGTTGATTGTAGGTACATGTTTTTATGTATATTTGGTAGTTACAGCCGATCACAGCGGCTATGCAGGTATTGTTTTGAAGACGACAGTTAGCGAATGGAATAGTGCCTCATATCATTGTGACAGTTACAAATACCATAACTTTACATTACGATGGTGTTGCGTTTAAGTGAGAAACAAAGAATTGAAATTATGGTTGGATACGGGGATAGAATCCGTAGTTATGATGAAGTTTGTCAATTATTCAATGCCAAGTATCCAGAACAACCAATACCTCCGTCTACAGTGTGCAGATTAGTACGCAAATTTGAAGACGCTGTTAGAGATCTGTCTAGATCCGGAAGGCCAACGAGAATGACGGAAAATGATAGGCAAAATGTTATGTTTAGCTGTCACGAAAATCCACACACTGCCGTTCGTCCTATCGCCGAAAACGCCAACATATCAACCGAAGCACAAAACATCTACAAATTCTCATTTTTGCTGTGGCACTGTTCACGCATCAGTTTGTGATACCTACTTTTATTATTATTTTAAACCATATCCATTCCAATCGTTGGCTTTTTTCGCACCTGTCAAAGTAAAGTAGGCCAAACCCTATATCGACGCATTTCCCTTCAAAAGGGCTATCCATTTATGCTTAAAAAATTAGGTAGTGCTATTTAAAAAAAATGTCGATGACGTCATTGAAACATAGCGCAAAAAAGGTTTAAGCAACATGACAAAACGGTAATTTCTATTTACTAAGTGACGTGTTTTAGCGTTTTTATGAAAACAACACAAAATATTACGAATTATTTGCGTGTATATATATATATAAACCAGTGATGTATTTGGGATTGCAGTCAACAGTGTTAAGGGCTATTACAATAAAAACACTCTGTGTTGTTGCCTTGACTATATGTGTATATATCAAAGGTTGTTGTCAAGCTTTCGGAAATGTTTATTTCCTTTCTCAAGACATAAACGTGAGATTAAATTAGAAAACCACCAAAAAAGAGAAATAACAGAACTATTGTTAAAATTTACACACATGCAATTAATTTTAAAAAAACAGTTATAACTACACACACACAAATGTTTCGTAAAATTTTATTTAAAATAAAATCATTAACATTCTTCATTTATGATTGTAACAAAAAATAGTACTAGCTACAAATAGTATTTGTAACCTAAAAATATATTTTAGAATTGGTGTATGTTCGACTGCAATGCTTATTTTCCTAAAATCTACTTGGAATAATTTAGCTAGGGGGCCTATTAATTTTGATGGCATTGAAATGATTCAAAAAGCATGTAAACTTAACTGGTGGCAATCTTTTTTTCTGATAAACAATTATTTACATATTGGAGAAATAGTAAGTACTTTTCCTTCATCATTTTTGGTGCATTATATTTTTCATTGTTACATTTTCTGCAGTGTCATCCTATTTCGTGGTATTTGTCTGTGGATTTTCAACTGTATATTATGACAACAATCACCATCTATTTAATTCTGAAATTTAAACTCAACGAGTTTAAAATTATCAGCTTCCTAATATTTTTTTCCTGTTTACTATACGGATCAATTATATATATTAAAGGAATGGATATAATTTATAGGATTAATCCTAAGTAAGTACCCTGCTACTACTACGGTTTTAATGTGATTGCCACTGATTATAAAGTGGCTTACAAGCACTAAAATATTGTGAATATCTAATAATAGTCCAGTAACTTTATACATCACAGCATGCGTCAAATCCGGTAGTTCTGATTTTTTGCAGACTTGTTTATGATGTTGGCCTAATGAATAATCCAAGTTTGTGACCTCGAGCGCCGAACGCAACTTTGTCAAAAATCGAAAAAACCGCGAAAAAATCGTTTTTTTTTCAAATTTTGGCGATTATAACCCTAAAGGACTAGTTTTTGAAAAAACTTTCTTAGGACGTTTTTAAAGTAGACTAAATTTGCTACAATATGATACTAGAACTGTCTCTGTAGACCCAATAGTTTCCGAGATTAAGCCTTTCAAAGCTTATCATTTTTTTCGAACTTCGCAATTTTTTGCAATTCTGTCGTTCTGAACGAATTTTGACCCTGATTATACTATCGAAGCCCTGTACTTTTATGATGGGATGTTAAAAAAGAAAATGAGAAGTGTGAACGATGATGTTTAAGCTAAGCTACGCATAATGAAGTAAAAAAGATAAGTACAACAAAAGTTAATAAGTTTATTTGTTAGGAAATTGAGTAATATTCAAAATCAAAAAATTAAATTAATTTAGCCCTCCTGGAAGGTCCCGGTTGAGGTTCGTCCGTATCTGGATCGACGTATTGGGATGGCATATCCCCATCAGGGGATGGTGATGAATCGTCGACGTCTTGTGCCCACAAGTCATCCTCCATTTCGACATCGGACAGATCGTCGCCTTCTGGGATATCTACTATTGCAACATCAGGTATATTGTCACAAGAGGCCCCGCTGCAGTGCCTGCAGACTGATGAGCATTTTAATCCTGCCTTCCTGCAGCTGCACGCGTTCCCACAACCCTTCGTGCAGCCGCAAGAAATCATCCGCAAGAAGTGTTGTGGGGCTCCATCTCTGGTCATCATTTTGGGGTTGAGGCCTTGTGGCGTGGATATCCACCCCCAGGAGAGAGGGTTCAGTGTGACTCTCAACCACGCCTGTACCTGTAAGAAGATTGTACATGAGAATAGAAAATGATGAATGATATGTAACTGATGCAAGGACAAATTTTTACCTGATGGTATGTCCGCAAGGAGTGAAATCGAGCAGAGTCTCGTGTAGGAGGTAACCTGGCTAGATTGAAGCTGGTTTTCGTCGCAGCCCTGGCGAATAGTTGGTACCGCAGCTCGTCAAGGTTATGGGTGTTGGGGTTGCCTCCGTATAGAGCAATTATGACTCGCTCTCCTGCTGCTGCTATCTCGTCAGGTGTAGAGTTGGTGTCGAGAAAAATCGCAGCTTGCTTTTCAACGTCCGGATTTTTTTCGACTGTGGACATCATTTGCATCTTCGCTAAGCCAAAGAAGCAGGATGTCGAGTCACAACCACTAAAGGCATGGATGAAGAGGAAAAGCTCTGGTTTCAAAGAGGATTTTGAAGAAGCGATGCTTGACATCTGATGCTTTGCCTCTTCCACATTTATTGTACAAAATTTCACGTTGGTTTGACATCGCAGTAAGGATGATCAGCAAGTCAATGTCCTCGCCAACGACTACCACTATATCATAGGTAGAGGCAGCAGTTACAGCTATAGTGATGATGAGCCTATCAGCATCTTCCTCTGCTTGGAGTACTTGAATGTTGTGATTTCCCATTTTTGTTGTCAGCAGCTTTATGAAACGAATCTTGTTTTTGTCATTTGACAAGAATTTCTGTTGAGGAACCTGTGTCATGGTTTTCTCATCAAAAATTATCTCTTGCGATGAGTGTAACTTGGCTCTTCGAAGACGCTCAGAGCTCTTTGTGTTTTTCTGTTCAGCATCTACGGGGTAACCATCGAAAACTACTGCCACGTTTGAGCCATAGTGAGCAGTAATGTACTGTATGTATCTGTCAGGTATCGCACCAAATGATGAGTTTCGAGGCCACACAACTTTGTGAAGTAGATGCCCTCCATCCACTACTACAAACTTCGTTAACCCTTGCTTTTCATTTAAGGTTACAGGTTGAAATACTGAATACAAGGTGGATTTTGTGCCCTTTCTCATTCCCTCTTCAGAGAACAATGACATTGGGATTGGTGACAGTTCGTAAGTGAAGAACTCTCGCAATTTTTCATCCGATTGTTTTAAGACACAGAACCTGTGAAACAGTGTTAGAGGATTAACAGTTACCAGTTTATTACCAATAGTAATAGTTCGTACAGCTGAAGAAAGGGACACCACATTGTTTTTACGTTTGAATTTCACTTCCTGGAAGTTCTGGCCAACCATCTTTAGCATCGATTCTCTCCCAATCTCTAGAGCCATGTTGCTGTTGACACTAGATTCTCCAACCAGGCCACTGCTGATGGACATAATGAAATCTGTTGTAAGGAATGGAGGGTGCTGTGCAAACCATCTACAGAGTTTTTCAGTATCTGATTCATCTCTGGTGACACGAGATGGTCGCATGTCAACATGTTGTTCAGTTGTTGCAGTGGTAACCTCGCAGTATGTTTCCACTTCATGGCAGATATTATGTAGATACACCATGCCTAATGTCCATCGAGAAAGTACACTGTTAGTCATACCACGTCCTCGGGTGAGCCCCCCATAGCTTTTCATAGATTTCATCAGTACTTGCTCAATGGTCATATCTGACCATATACCCGACCAAAATTTGTTAGTGCGCCGGATGGTGAAGTATCCCTTTTTTGTGAATTTATCGTACTCAAGTGGGTCCATTTTCCCTTCCAATTCCAGCATATCTTGCAGATATAATTGTGCGCACTTCGCATAAAAGAAGTGGCCTGCTGCGTGAAAGAATGGGAGCATTTTCTGGATGGTGTCCAAATGCAAATTCCAATCGCCTGTCCGTTCTGCTTGGATAAATTGCTTCATCAGTGTCACCATTCGAAAATAAAGAACCCACAGCTTTGCGGTTGGTCCATTGCTTTCAAGCTTGCACAAAGCATCCGTGAATTTCGTCATTAGTGCTTGAAACTGCTTATTTTCGTTAGCTGTTAGAATTGCAGATCTGTTAGAGTTTGAATCAGTAATGCTTTTTTCCTCTTCAGTCAACTGAATTGTTTTCACAATTTCATTTGCTAAGGAAAGAGACACCAAATTGTGGGCTCTCACTGCTCTAGAATAAGCATGGCCAGCCAACATCTTATCAATGGTGTTTTCAGCATAAATTGTCGAGAGCAGTTCCTTTATACCACTTCGACTCATAATCATACCTATTGATCCCAAGAAAGACATTAGTAGATGAAAACCCCCTAGCCTCACAACGACGTTGCTCAAATCAGTGCCCTGATAGTTTGCGACTATCTCTTTGGCTTTAATGTATAGGGGTTGGTCAAAAGTTACAACGCAGGTTTTTTGTCCATGGGCGAAGAGATGTAAGAACTGTGTCGTAATTGGACGGGAGATGGTTGATGAATGACAGACATATAATTTTGGATGTTTCAAAGTGTTTCTCTGCTGTTGCTTCCTCCATGAACCCATTCCATCCCGGGATGTTCAACTTTTTTTTAACTTTCCCATATAACCATAAGATATCTGAAGAGAGTGGTACAATTTCTTCAGGTAGCGAATGAATATTGTCTAAGTTAACAATATTAATTGCCGACAAACCCTGATTGGATGGCACTTTTTGGAAGGTTTCCAGCTGAATAGGAGGATTTCTCTGTACAAGTTCAGAAGCAGTGCACTTCGTCAAACGGTCTATTTTATTCTCGGGACATGAGGAATTATGGGGAGTCACAATCATTATACCTCCCATTGCGTGAAAAGCACCCGTTCCATCTAAAGTGTTGACATTAAAGTCGGCGTTATCAAAAGAAAATTGCACAAACGACATTGAAGGGTCCTTCAACATGAGTTGGTCTGGTCGCATGATGGCCGAGGTTTCCAAAAGCATAGTATCCTTGTAACTAGCTGAGAATCCAAGCGTTGACAATAACTCAACCAGATGTTTTGACCCGAACTTGTGATACAAGAATACACCAATCCCATGCAGTAAACAAGAGATGAACGAGCGAGGCCTGACTGCCGATATTATTGAATGTGCAAGAGCAACGCACTTCTTTCTATAGGAATCCAAGAAGCTTCGTTTGTCTTTTAAAATTACTGCTTCGAGCAACAGTTTCAAAGAATCAGGGATAACTGAATTTACATTCTGGAAGAAGTCGTCGGATGGTGTGAATTGTGTTGTGTCGTACACTTGCGACCGTATATCCTCTCGTATGACTTCAGCAGCTGCTTTCACCACGCGTAGTCTTTCTGCTTGAGGATCTGAACTTCTACTGTCATACCATGTACTGGTGAGAATTTTGTGACCTGTGTTTTTAAAACAAACAGTCGTGTGTTTGAAGGGTCTCTCAACGATCACAATGTCCTCCCCATACTTTGCAAACAAGCGATTTTTGACTGTTCGTAGTTGAGGTCGTTCTCCTTCTATCTGGTCCATGAGTTCATCTAGAGAGAACTGACACTCCTCACTGTTCTCTTCCAGAAATGAATAAATCTTTTCCATGGCCTCATCAACTGTGGGATGCTGACGATTTCCCCTGGACTTTCCTGTTGGTGGTGCCTGGTAGAGCTTTGTTTGGCAAAACCGATGATATCTGGCATCAAGGGCTACCAAATCTGTGTTCTCAGATATACGCTCTTTTATTTTAAGAGCCCATTCATCACCACGTTTCTCAGCTGCTCTCAAGATTGTTGCACTGAGAGACAATTCCGCAGTAATGATATTGTCCCGTTTTTCTGGCTTCTTCTTCCTTTCTGCCACAAGGAACTGTTCAGTTATTTTGTCTCCACATAGACAACAACAGTGTTCTCTGAAATTGAAATGCTCTGAGACTGATCTCGTGGCCCTTGATGGCGTAATATTTGATTTTCCACTGCTAACAGCTGCTTTGATCAACTTCGGATTGTTGTATTTTATCTGACAAGCACTGTGCACATATATCTCATTTACACCCATCAATAAACGCTGATTTTCTATGTTCTTATGGGAAATACTCGACGCAAGAAGGGTTTTTACACCTCTTTCCTTCACTAAGCGCACTTGACCTTCACTTGAAGTCTCCTTACATATAAAACACAAACCCACGCTGGGACTGGGATCAGACATTCTGTAGATTTTGAGTTCAAACCACACTCAGGTTATGGGCAGCAGGCCAGTCAACGACTAAAATGAAAAAAATAAATAAAAATAGGGAAGGTTAAAAACGGGCTACAGGTGGGTCGCATTCGTGACTTCACACGAGCAATACTAGCACAGTCCGTCGGAGGTAATTGGAACTTCATCCCGCTAGAGTTGTTCGAGTGACGTCTAAAATATTGCAAAAAATTGCGAAGTTCGAAAAAAATGATAAGCTTTGAAAGGCTTAATCTCGGAAACTATTGGGTCTACAGAGACAGTTCTAGTATCATATTGTAGCAAATTTAGTCTACTTTAAAAACGTCATAAGAAAGTTTTTTCAAAAACTAGTCCTTTAGGGTTATAATCGCCAAAATTTGAAAAAAAAAACGATTTTTTCGCGGTTTTTTCGATTTTTGACAAAGTTGCGTTCGGCGCTCGAGGTCACAAACTTGGATTATTCATTAGGCCAACATCATAAACAAGTCTGCAAAAAATCAGAACTACCGGATTTGACGCTTACTACCCCATACTTTCAGGCGACAAAGTTACTGGATTATAATTTATTCATTTACAGGGTGAGAAACATCCGCTAGTATGTTGTAAAACATTTAAAGTTAATTGGGGTGTTTCATATGAATATTTCTGCAAAAATGGTCCATTTTCGAGACGCAGGTTGTTAAAATTACAAAATTTATTATCTTTTCCGAACTGACAGAGCTATTCAAATGAATTTTAGTAAACATTGTATACATGGTTAATTAATTGTACGCCCCGTGGCAGGTAAAAAAACACATTTTCTAATAAAACTTTTAATCCGAAGTAAAAAGAGTGTCTTGAAATTTTTTCATATGTGTCAGTTTCATGGCAAATTCGATATTTTTATTTCTTATTAAATTTACAGGATTTACTACTCCGCTGCATTTATATATTGACTAGGTATTTTCAATTAATTTAAGCTATTTTAAAACAGAAAATAAACAATGAAATTGTTCAAAGGGCCTGCCATTTTCATTTAAACATTTTTCACGGCGCGAATTAATGCATGTACCTTTTTCATCCAAATAGTAAGAAGTTCCCATTAATTAACTGAACAAATAACAGAAGCTGCAGGATAAACAAAAAGCAGTATGTATCTCATTGAAATTAATTTGTGCATGTTTAAATGAAAATAAAGAACAGCCTCCTTTTTTGTTTTCTGTTTTAAAATGATTTAAATTAAATGAAAATGCCTAGTCAAATATTAATAAATATAATGGGGTAGTAAATCCGATAAGTTTAGTGAGAAATAAAAAATCGAATTTGCCCACAAACTGTGACAGATATAAAAAATTACAAATGACTCTCTTTCAGTTTAAAAGCTTTATCGAAAAATGTGAATTATTTTTATCTGGTACAAAGCCGTACTTTTTTTATTGAACTGAAGTTTCGTCACTAGCTGCTTAGCTCACGTACAATGTATACCAAATTTATTTGAATATCTCCCTCAATTCGGAAAGCATTTCTGAAGAAAGGTTCATAAAAAATATTTATTTTTAAAAGTTCTATCACATTCCCTAGGGTCCTACGTTCCGTCTGACTCACCCTGTATACCCCCTATGTAATGAAATTTAAATTTGTTTTAACCAACAGTGTCACAAGGATGTTTTTATTTATACGATCAGAATCATGTAGGGTATTATACCTTTCAACATATTCCAACTGGACTACAAGCTTAGTAGGCATGTCACTAGGAATTGCATATATGAAATCCAAGAATAACAGTGTGAAAGTAAGTCTTATTATATATTTCTCTATTAAATAATGTAGTATCCCAGATTAACGTATCTACTGGTTTATGTTTTTATGCTGACACTTTCAAGTATAGTTGGTTGGTAAAAAGCATTGGAATACGCAAGAAGGGGGTATAGTTCGAAGATCTTAGTGTAGATCTTGAACTGTTCACTATGCGTGGATGAAGTGTATATTGTTCTGTCTTAATTTTATTGAGTGAGATATTAGAGTTTATGTCGCTTTAATTTTATCACAAATTATTGATCAAATTAGACTTATTTCTATTCTTCGTTCGTTGCTTGGTTTAGCTACTAGAGACGTCTTTGGCAAAATTTATTTTTCTCCAACCACTATTCCTTATTTAAATGAAATTTAATTTGAGTGCATAGTTTTCGGAATAATTTAAATTACAGAAAGAGGGAAAATATTGTTTTGTGGGTGACCTTATAAGTTCTGATAGGTGTCACATAAAAATAAAAGTGGGAAAGATGGACACTATATCAAAAACGCTTTTGCTTTTTTATTAACGGAACGCAAGACTAATGGATTCCAACTTACATAAATCCAGAGGATATTCTAGTAGGTGATACCTACGTTGTTTAAAAATGTGTTAATTAAAGAAGTTTTAGAGGAACTTCATCAAGGGCTCGCTGCAAAAGATAAGAATGAACGTTTAGTAGATTTGGAAAAAGTATGCACAAGATAGACCTTCTTCTCGTTTAGAGAACAGTATATGAAAAAAATGAAAGAACACTCCTACATGGAAGCTTTCGAGAAGAAAAGCTCTGGAGTCAGCAATTTTAATACCGAAATTTTGCTTGAGATATGTTATACAGGTTGTTTTGATGAGATGAGATTTGATCTACAGAAGTAAATGCCCCAACGATAATGCAACTACGCGGCCAGCTATGATCTTTTTTAGTGTATTCGTAAAAACATTATAACATTTTTTTTTTTGAAAAATGTAATAACGTACCAGATTAATGAAATATATGTGCACACAGTTCTATCATGCAATTTAGGAAAACGATACCCTTCCATTTCTATATGTCTTTGTCAAGAATAAACTGAATGGTAACCAAATTATTTATAGAAACTCGACCAACACGGATAGGTACTCGCACACGGAGTCTCACCATTTTAAGGAGACATGATATTTATACCTACCATCTATAACACCTCAACGAGAATAGGGTCAGTCTTTCCCAAATTGAGCTGCACGAACGATGTACGTACTTCAAAGTCTCAGTATATACAGAAGCCAGCCAAAACTGATGACGCCAAAATGATGCAGATAATACAGAATGCTAGGTGCGGATTGTTTGCGTACGACTAATGCTCGGAGCTCAACAGGAACTGTGTCCTGGCTCTTGGAACGGTGAGTGTTCGGATCTCACCAGGAACTGTGTCGTGGCTGATTAACTGCATTTACCGCAGGTGCGTGTTCAATCGCCGGCAGGGTGAATCCCGGTAGAACGGCTGCGGTGTGGATGGGTCCAGGGACGATTTGGCTCGCGACGTTTGAATTTTTCCCTTGGTCTGGTCGCTCGGCCGTGGTAGATTATCTGAAACAGAATGTATTAGCCCTGACCCGGAGGTCTTGTGGGAGATGGCTATGGCAGCGATCCATCTTCCTTGGAAATTTCGAAAGGGTGTCGAAAAATTTGTTTCCTCCGTCCTTCGTCGGCGGTCCTAGGAAGGCTGCGGCGCAGAATGTGGTTATCGTCCGATAGCACGGGGGTGGCTATGCCGGCTCGGTGTCGTCTTAGCGGCTCAACGTTAGGAGTTTCGAAAGGTCGGTGAAATTTTTCGAAAGATCGTTGATTTTCCTAATGTTGTCTGGTGCCATTTTGCTGGTGAAGTGGCCGTCTAGGTGCCGTCATACGTTGTATTGAACGACTTGTAGATGGTAGAAGACCGTTCGTCGAGTTTGGGGAATTTCGAATATGTTTTCGAAACATCCGTGATTTTCGTCAGGCATTGTTTTCCTACTTGGGGGCTGCTCGGGCGTGTTGTAATGCATTTGTATGATATATGTATGAGGAATACAAGTTTTGAGCGTTTCGTTGTTGGATTCGAAATTGTAACATGTACCTAATGTTTATTTGTATATCTACTTTCACAGATATCATATAATAATTAATATACTTACCTCACAAATGTAACAAGGCTTATGAAATAGTTCCGCCCATGGTGCTCCGCAGAAGATTCCGGTATACGAGTACTTTCTCGCTTGCACCATCACAAATTTTTTTAAATGTTGGCCCGTCATAATACATTTGACAGGCTGTACTATGAAAAAAAATTATTTAAGATTTCATAAAACGTTAACTCAAAAATAGCCTTCTTTCCAATAAAATGGAAGAGATTTTTTGTTTTTGAAAGAATAGGCATGATGACAGATTTTGAAAAACTGTTCTATGATGTTCGGAAGTATTTAATATTTCCAAAAAATATCTTATTTCTGTAGAAAGTCTAAACTCACGTAAAAACGGTCGCCGGTGTCATGGCGTCTACGTAACGTCATATCTACAGGGTGATTCACAACTTATCCAAAAAAATTTGGAAATAGATGCAGCATGAGAAATGGAATCAATATCGTAAAAAAAAATTTTGTAATATCCTTACAGTTTCCGAGAAAAAAAAATATTTAAGTTATAGTACATTCAACCACTACATAGCTGGACAACTGTAGTCTCTAGCGTCATTCGACACGTGGCCTCAGCGACTCCGAATACTGAATTCGGGTTTTGCAATCGTCGTTGCGATATTTACCTGTTATCTGTGGTGTTTACAATAGGTTTTTAGTAGTTAGTGTCAAAAATGGGTAGTTAGTGTCAAAAATGGTTTGCGTGTACTCGGAGTTGATGGATATCGTTTTAATTTATGGTGAAGCATTTGTGTTATGGTGAAACAAGACAACATTTGTGTTAGTTCGTAGAAACTGAGTACAACGGACCCAAATGTGTTTACACATTGGTGGATAAAATTTTGAACAATTGTTGTAACATCGGGTATGTCAAATGATTTTATTATTTAAAAACAAATTAATTTTATTAATTAATAAAAGCAAAAGCAGTTGAATTTGCCGATATAAAATAGGTGCGATAAAATTCTATTTACATATTTCTTTCCTTGCGAAAGTTTTTGTCCGTTTTTATCACACCGCCATGCCGGCCGCATTGTGCGAGGTCAGGTTTTACAGTGGATCAGTTTTCAATGCCGTGCAGAAGTGTATTTTTAAATCATTTTCAAACTGCCCTTTTTGATTTTTTCTTTACAAAATTGTATTTGTAAGGGTCCCCTGTACATCCAGAATTTTTTTTTTTTGGATAAGTTCTGAATCACCCTGTATGTTTGTCAACAGTAAACATAAGGTACTAATATTTTGTGTTGCAAGATTCATTAGTTAAATAAAAATACAAAGTTACCATAATAGTATATGCATTTTATTTACCCTCAAATTGTACTTTTTTTATAACAATGGATACACATTATATTTCCATGAAGAGAAAACCTTATACATAGTTGTCATCAAATGTAACATTAATTATTTCTACTTTTTTATTTGTACTGTAGACGAAATCCGCTACATCGAAATAGCCCTTTTGAAACCCTGTTAAATACATTTGTAGCTGCCATCTGCACATAAAACTTCTGGGTCGGTTTTCTTTTTTCCACATAATTTTTAAAAGTCTTCATATTCATGGTCCATTTAATTTCAATAATACTGTCTTCACAGATTCCATCAGGCGATTCTGCTATCGTGGGATAGTTTTTGCAAAGTATTATACCACATTTTTTTAATTTTTTCCCCAAATGGTACTTACAGTTTCTCTCACTTCATCCTTCAACATTCTATCGCGTTTCATGGTCTGAGATTTTTCTTCCCACTATTAACGTGATCAGAGTTGCATCATTGGTTTTGCACCGACTAAATTCAAACGCTCGTGAGGCCGCACTATGTATCATTTTTTTTTGTTTGTACAAAAATCAAATATCTTGACTCAGAGAGTAGATAAAAATATGAGCCTGGTTGCAAATGAAAGCTGAATGGATGTAGAATATGGAAAAAATATGACTGAGACGATTTTTTTTCTGTATGACCTTCGAATGACTAGGCAAAGTCTATGCAACCCAAAAATTTTATGGATTTTTCTAATTATATCGGTCCTAATTCTCTTTAAATTTATTCCAATGCACACGATTTTGCACAATTTAGCACGGCAATTCCAAGTCTGGCGTCAAAAATTTTCTATCATTTTTCTAACTCTAGCAAAGTCTCTCCAAAGTCGGTATTATTTTCAAACTGCTTTTTGACACTGTTAAGCAAGAAAATTATTCACAAATTAAAGATTAATTATCAACCTGGGTTTCTGTTTTTTATTTTACAAATAAATGTCAAATAAACACACTGTAGAAGGTAGGCAGTGCCTTATAGATATTTTTTTTTTATTAACGATGAAAAAAATTCAATCATTCAATTCAATTCAATCATTCAATCGTTCAATTCATGTTGATTTATCAAAATATTTTAAATAATTTGTTTTCCTGAAACGTCTAGTTGACAACTATAAACCAAAGTCAAAAGTTTTGTCAAATAAATATCTTGAAACTGAATTTAGATTTGAAAATTTTAAAGTCTCTAGATATTAGTTTTACCTTTTTAGGTTACCTTAATATTTGGTGTTGTCGTGCATGTCGACATGATGAAATGCACCAATTAACTTAGAATGATTAAATGATTTAAAATCAAAGTTTTTGATTAAAATACCGGATAATAAAACGAAAAAACCTAGTTCATTTGTGATAAACGAAACTTTTATGTCACAGTATAGAAGAAGTTGCCGCTTTTTCTTTAAATATTCAAATGGGAAAGGTTGCAGACAAGTAGTAGGAATATATCATTTTGGTAAAATGCCTCAAATTGTCGCAAAATTTTTAAATTTGCCAAATGCAGATTACAAATATAGACATAGCAGATAAAATATTTGGAGGGGAGAGAGACAAAGAGAAATTTGCTAGTAGTAATAATATTGTTGAAGAAGAAATAATTAACGGCAATAATGACGCCGACTTTTCGAGTAAAGTTCAGCCAATGTTTAATATTTGTGCAAACTTAACTTTAACATAAAGGTTTAATATGTGGAATAATTCAAAGAATGTTCGTTAAATATACAGGGTGATTCAGTTATTAATTTTAAGAGCAGATAGAGAAAAATCAGTATAATACGATGGCGTGGTTAAAAAAAATTTAAATGCATATTTAAGCTGAAAAAAAATATTTTCAAATCATTATTTAACCCCCTTTTCATGCTCTTACTGACCGGCTGATGTCAGCCTGTTATTCACAGTTTACTCACGGCTACGATGTAAACAAGACGCCCTAGATGCAACTTTGCCATATTTATATATTTTCGCTCATATAAAGACAATAAATAAACGGTTTGCTCACGTCAGCCAATAATAATTTAAAATGCTATAAATTATTTTTTATAATTTTGCAATCAACATATTAAATTGTTATTGTTGCCCAGCAAGAACCTCGAGGAGGTCTGAGCATGCTTTGCCAAAAATCAGTTTTTATTATCATCAAAGTGATAATTTTTTAATTTGCTATAAGCCTTCTACTAAAAATTGAAATTAACGCGGCCCATTCAGATGTTCAGAAGATGTTCAGGTAGAAAATGCGGCTCAATTAAACGATCGCCATATACTCCTGCCCATACATTGACACCGAATCTCCTCTGAAAGCTAAACCGACGAGTAGTGTGCGGGTTTTCATCAGACCAAATGTGACTATTATGGCTGCAAAGAAATTAACTCTGTTTCACTTTAAATACAATTTAATATTGAAGTTACAAAACTCCAAGAGTTCAAATAATTTAAATTTCATTTCGTAACCATTTTAATCTCATCACAGAAATAATGACATAAAAAACCAACACTCACTAGATAAATTATAAAGAGAGGGTGAAATGTATGTAGTATTTAAATATTGACTGTAAGTAATAGAAGATAAAAAACAATCGGACGGAGACAAATAAACAACTCGGTACGTGTTTCCGGCCTAGGCTAACCTGTGTCAAGGTCACCAACCTTCTAATTTACACGTGCACTATAGTCTAGCAGCCAGACCGGGTTTCGTTGCCAATCAGAGTGCCACGGATGCAAACAACTATTTCTAAAGAATTTTGACCTCCTGAATCCAAAAAACTTGGTCGTAAAGCCTGGTCAGTTTAATTGTTATCAACAAATTAAATGTTTAAATGGCTGTAAAAAGTTTATGTTTATAGCTAGTACACGGAACCCTATCTGGCTCTTAGACTAACACGAACCGTAGAAGGATCGTATTCCATGCAAAGTAGAGCAAAAGGTTGTCTGTCTTTCATCAAAGGAAAATCGTGTCATCAAATTGAATGCAATGAATAGGGATGCTTGTTTTCGAATGTACGGTTATTACAATTTATGATTTTTAATATTATTAACGTTTTCACGTTTTATAATTTATTATGTTAAATAATACAGTTTTAGTATTTCAATTTATTATTCAATATGCAGTTCCGTATAACCAAAGTTTACATAATAAATATAAACTATAGTGTAGATCTAAACTTTGATGTAACCAAGGTAGGTACTTATTGTTTTTGAGAAAGCAATACTTATGTTTTTTACCTGTTTAAAATGCCAGCACGAGTAAAACAGCATTCATCCCACCAGAGCACTTTGTTAATAAAGTTAGGTTCTGCTACATTTCGATTTAGGAACCAATTTCAAAATTCAAGACAATTGGGGAAATCAGCTGCTTCTAAAGCTTGAACATTTTGAAAATGTGTGATGTTAACTCCTTTGCGGGAAAAATGCGGGAGATGTGAAGGGTGGTAGATTTGAATAAACGCTTTAAATTGTTAATGGTTTTGTAACTGTGTGTAGTGTATTTTGTATATTTGAGTATTTAGTGTGCCGACTTTTTTATTTGATAAAATACGGTGTGCCTACAAACCTCTGCTTTATTTATTTTCATTTAACGAAAGTTGACTTCGAGAAGTCAGGCTTATTAAAACATTTTGCACTAAGTTAATACAATTATTAAAATTATTTATAATAAAATGCAACATGATCCTTTATTTACTTGCATTTTATTGGTTTCGTACATATGTATCCATATACTAAAGCGGATTAAGTAAATGTGAACTACAGATTATGATGTGAACTTGGCAACGCTGTTCGCTTCAGCTGACGATTTGTTCGTGACATTACGTTACAAAATGTTCCGAGCATCCGGTCATCTGGCAGTACCGCCCTCTTAACGGGAGTTATGGGTTGATTTCCTTCATTATTAAAAGTCGAGCAAAATTTTTTTTCCGATTTTCTGTCTTTATTAAGCCTTCCGAATACGTGGTTAAAATTAATGACATTATGACTGAATCACCCTGTATATTTAATTTAAGAAAAAATAATTTTAATTTATGTTAGTTCCTTATTATAATGTACTAAGTATAGAAACATTGTTAATGTCTGTTTTTTTTTTAGAATCAGAAGGTTATATCTATTTTGTGGTTTTTAATATTTTTTGGCCTGCCTTCTGCAGTGATATTTTTTGCAAGACATGAATTCAGAGGGATTCGAGCAGCAATATTGGGTGCTTTGGTTAAACCCCTGTTTTCTTTAGGCATTGGAATAGGCATTTTAGGAATGTCACACAATATGGGAGGTAATATGTTTTATGTGCATTTATGAAATTATCGACTATCTCAACAACAAATTTGATTAATTTAGTTAATAATACAAAGAACATAAAAAAGTTCTGACGGTTCGAAATTAACAAGATCCAGAAACTGACACAAACACCCTTAATACTTCAATAAAGTTGTGCTCTGCTTATAGGGGCCGCAAAAAAATTTCAAATAGGATGATTTTTTCAGGGTTGCTTGGGGACTGCCTCCTGAGTATCCAATCAAAATATCACACTCGAACTCCTGGTACGAATTGCGCTAAAAAATTTTTTAAAGCAACATGACCTTCATAAAAGTTGTAGAGGATTAAATTTTGAACAATTTTTTCCTTATGCCCAATTTTTGTCACATTATGCGCAGTAAGTCGTTAAGTATTAGACATACAAAAAAATTTTATATAGAAAAGTTGTTTAGAATTTTATCTTCTATAACTTTTATTGTCATTTTGCTCTAAAAAAAAATGTTTAGGAAACCACCCCCATAGCGCAATTCGTACCAGGAATTCGAGTGTGATTTTTTGGTTGGATACTCAGGAGGCAGTCCCCAAACAACCCTGAAAAAATCATCCTGTTTGAATTTTTTTTAGAAAATGACATCTTTACTGGATATTTTTAATGTTCCATGGTTAGTGTCAAAACAGGCGATGAAAAAAAATTTTTTTTAATATTTTGTATAAACGAACAATGTACAATTGTAATAGAAACCACATCGTCTCACGTCTGACATAACCGAAAATATTTTTTATGCATATTTCGCCATTTTAGTTTGTAGTAGATATACAGGGTGTTAAAAAAAGAGTGTAAAATATTTCAGGAGGTAATAGTTTGAACCAAAATAAGCAGAAAAGTCTTAATAAACATGGGTCCGCAAAGTAACGGTTGCGGAGATATGGACCACTATTCGTTTTTCAAACATTTTATTTTATTAGGAATAAACCGACAAAGGAAGCTTTTAACAAACAAAAAACAAAGTTACAGAAGATGTTGCCCTCCGTCCATTTCCAAGCAGGCACGACATCTTCGTCTCAACGATATCCGAACTCTTTCGAAAACACCCTCCTTGGTTTGGATTTCTTGACACTTTCGATTAATCCGTAGCTGCAGCTCTTTCAGGGTATTTACAGGAGTACCATACACTAATGTCTTCAAATATCCCCAAACAAAGAAATCTAGAGGGTTCAGATCAGGCGATCTTGGAGGCCATAAAACAGGTCCGGCCCTTCCTACCCATCTATGTGGAAAAGTTTGGTGTAAATGCTCTCTAAAGGCCATGGAAAAATGAGCTGGAGCACCATCATGCTGGAACCACATTTGTTGCCTCTGATTCAAAGGAATATCTTCCAAAAACTCATACAGTGTGTTCTGCAGAAAGTTGAGGTAAGCAGCGCCTGTTAATCGGTTTGGTAAAACAACAGGACCTAGAAACCTGTTACCTACAATACCCATCCGAATGTTTAATGAAAAACGTGCCTGATGTCCAGATTCTATTAGAGCATGAGGATTTTCGTCGGCCCAAATATGCGTATTGTGAAAATTGAACACTCCATTTCTTGTGAACCCGGCCTCATCAGTAAATAGAATGTTTGCAAGAAAACGAGGGTCTTCAGCATCATGACGTAGAAACCAGCGGCAAAAAACCAAACGTGCTTAATGATCATTTATTGGATTTAAGGCCTATACTCGTTGCACATGGTTTGGATAAAGCAGTTGCTCGTGAAGGATTCTCCAAACAAGAGGACCACTAATTCCTACCTCGGCTGATATTCTCCGCACACTCATACCTGGATTCTGCTCTACCAGTGCTAGAATTTCTTCTTCTGCTCTAGGAGTGGATACCGACCTTGGTCTTCCGGATAAATGGCACTGTTTGCTCAAGGAACCTGTCACGCAATATTTGGTGAATTCTTCCAATCATGCGTTGTGAAGGAATCTGGCGATTTGGATAAGCCGTCAACATAAAGACGTCGCGCTTCGGTGGCGTTCCCATTAGCACGACCATAAATGAAATGCATGTCTGTTAATTCTGCGTTAGAGTAACCAGCCATAGCGAAGAAAAACTTGTGCACTGAGAACAACTGTCAAATCATCAACCAACTATTATAAGAAAATACACAACGTTTTTGCAGAATACAAAAAGGAACTAAAACACATAAAACATTCAATGTCTCCGCAACCGTTACTTTGCGGACCCATGTTTATTGAGACTTTTCTGCTTATTTTGGTTCATACTATTACCTCCTTAAATATTTTACACTCTTTTTTTAACACCCTGTATTATTTCTGTGATCAATATTTCAAGAATATTTAATTCACCAAAACGATAAACAATTATTTTAGATTTTTTTCCTATTTGCCTCCACTTTTTCCAAGATTTTTGCTGGGTTCCGACATTTGAAATTATTCAGTTAATTGAAAAAATATTTATTCCGTCTTTTTGTTTTAGGTATTATCAAGCATATATGTGAAAATAAATATGCTGTCCTGATGAGTAATTTCTCATTCTGCACTTACGTTTTTCAGATTTATGTTATATTCTCTAAAGGCATTAAAAGTTATTCGTTGATGCAGTTTACACTTATTAATACGGTAATAAAACTTACTTTCAAACTTTCGATTGTTTGCTGTAAGAATTTTGTATTTTCATTTTCCAGATAAAATACAATTTGTTTTTTGATGCACCACTGGCTATAATAGTTGGAATTATTAGCAAGTTGGTGTTTGAACAACCAGGAATTAATTTACAAAAATTATTCCTGCCACAAATAGCAAGTAAGAAAGAACAACTGAAAAGGGAGTAGTGAAATGATTTTTTTTTGTTACAAATTAATTAATCCTGACTTCTGTTCATTTTTGTTACGTGAATTAAATAATAGAAGAAATATTGTATTTTATTTCCAATCCATCCGAAAAGTATCGTATCATAAAAAAGCAAATCCTTAGTCTTTAACTAGAGAGTAGAGATTGGAGATTCGAGAGTTCTATTCCAACAATGCTTGTGCAAACTTTCGAAACAGAGGAAGTTTATGACAAAAATCTCCCCAATACCTTAAAACTGTCATATGGCATTTGTGAGGTGTAAGTTGGAATAGGTATGTATCTTTTATAAGAGCACTCATTTTCCAAAATCATACACCATACAATGATCTTTAGAGGTACAAGGTCTGTCAAATTAAGATAAAATTATGGAATTTGATGATGAGTACTATGCCAAAGACAAATAAAAATGTGAAATGGTTGTACGTTTAACAGTACATAGATCCCGTAATTAGCCTGCAAAGCGTGATCGATAAAATTCTATTATGAAAAATAAGAAGAAAAAGTTGTAAAACAAACAAAATATGCTTCCTAAAGAAAGGTAAGACTTCCCCTGACAGCTGCATCTCTAAGAAATATTTTTATCTCCTTATTATGAAGGAAGGAATAAACAAACATTCAAAAATTCAATTTGGAAATAGGTCGAACCTTTTCATGGATAATTTTTTCAAGTTTTATCACAAAATTTAGGTTTCTTTAAGAAGAATACCCTTGAAAATCACCTGAATGTACAGTTTTCGATTAAAATCAAAAGTTCTACGAAAGGTAGCTACACTGTAAAAAAATCGGTATGAGTGAAAGCAATAAAGGTACGGAGTGAATCCATTGAGTGGATTTATTGAGTACTTTGTTACTCAATATTGAGCAATAATTTATTCATTTGTTATAATATTTGAATACTGAGTACTTTCACTCAGATCTAGATTACCCGTTAAATAAATTCTGCAAATAAACTCGTATTTGGTGCACTTGTAGTTAAATCCGAGTAAATGTCCTCATTATTGAGTGACTCCACCACATTCTATGGTTGTCGTAAGCTCTCTTTGTCTGTTCCCATCGTCCCCATTAGGTCATCTAATAAACGAATAGTTAAATCGTTACCTACACTTACTTACGTATCTGTAACGTACAATATAGGTTATGGCAATCTATTCGTCCGATCAGTTAACCAATTCCTTTAATCAAGACCTAAAATACTTCTCTAAAACATATCTGTGTAGAAACCACTGAAGTCAACTCTTAAGTGGTTTGAGTAAAATTCTTACTTGTGATGCAATAGTTTCACTCTTACAATTTTAGTTGTACTCATACTAACAGAATGAAAATTTCACTCAATCGAGTGTGGAGAGAAATTGATACATTTGACTAAAATTGAGTGAATTTGAGTCAATTTTTTACAGTGTATGTACAGGCTGGTCCATTTTCGATGGGATTTCAGGGTATCTCAGAAACTACTAAAGATATGATCAATCTGACACGACGTTCTCGAGCTCGATTTTCATGGCAAACTCGACTGTCAAACCAGATATTTGCTATCTTCATTTGTTTCTGAGTTACAGAGCGTTTCTCGTTATTGTGACACTTTTGAACATGTCTGTATCTCAACTGTTAAATAAGTTAGAGTTAAAGTGAAAACTGCTCAAGACTAATTCTTTGGCGTAGAATTGAATGCCGGTATTATATTTTTAGTAAGTCTTAAGATTCCGGAGTTATGTCTGAAAGTTATAATTTTTTAAATGGAAATCGTAGCTCACCATGGCCTAAAAAAAATAGAGATTTTTTTCCGCTTTTCAGCAATATATCACATGCTATAGTTATTTTTCCAAACACATTTTTTTTTACATTTTAATATGGCTGGCTATGAAAATACCTACAAAACTATAATTCTTACATTTACAAAACTCATATCTGTTGTAAAAATATGACGTTTATTTAAAATATATATTACAGATAAGAAAAGACAGAGTTTTCAAATTTTTATTCAACTTCAAATGAAGTTACAATATTAAACGTAAATTAAACAATAGTAAGTACCTACATCAATAAAAACTTTCAAAAATGATAGCTAAATGTTCAAATTGCCGTCCCTCAACTGTCACACATTTCACGCATCTTCTGGCAACGCTTCGGGTAGCATTCATTAAATGTATAGGTATTTGAAATATTATTAAAAGGAATTTTAAATATAATGTCTTTTAGAAAACCTCAAAGGAAAAAGTCCAACGGACTCAAATCAGGTAACCTAGCTGGCCATCTGATCGGTCCGTTTGTTCCTATCCACCTATCTCCTAAAATTTCGTTAGTATTATATTATCACACGAGTATATGTTGTGCATTTAAAATAAATGTCATATTTTTACAACAGATATGACTTTTGTAAAAGTAAGAATTATAGTTTTATCTGTATTTTCATAGCCGGTCATATTAAAAAGGAAAAAAATATATAATTTATATATAAAACACCCCGTATCTCCCGTGTTTGTAAAAATAACTATAGCATGTGATATATTGCTGAAAAGCGGAAAAAAATCTCTATTTTTTTAGGCCATGGTCAGCTACGATTTCCATTTAAAAAAATATAACTTTGGGTCATAACTCCGAAATCTTAAGATCTACTAAAAATCTAATACCGGCATTCAATTCTACGCCAAAGAATTAGTCTTGAGCAGTTTTTACTTTAACTCTAACTTATTTAACAGCTGAGATACAGACATGTTAAAAAGTGTCACAATAACGAGAAACGCCCTGTAACTCAGAAACAAATGAAGATAGCAAATTTCTGATCTGACAGTCGAGTTTGCCATGAAAATCGAGCTCGAGAACGTGGTGTCAGATTTATCATATCTTTAGTAGTTTCTGAAATACCCTGAATTTCCATCGAAAATGGACCAGCCTGTACAAGCCCTTATTGTACGCTATTACCTACAACTAGTGATGGGAGATCTCGAGTGAAAAATCGAGTGGTACTCGATTATTGAGATCACTCGAGATATCTCAAGATGTTTACTCCCACCACTCGAGTGATTATTACCCTGCGGATGCGCCCCAAAGTGTTAGTGCAAACTGCAAGTAGTCACTGATTGCGTGACCTTTTTTTTTAAAATAAAACGAGAAAGTGGTGAGGTTTTGAAGTGCGTGAGCTTTTTTTTTAGCTACGCTTATAACTAATATATGACTAATATGGTAATATTTGTGCGCCGCTGGGATGAAAACGACCAATATTTCGTATCTCGAGTGATTACTCGATTATTAGAAGTACTCGATTACTGATAGGTAACTCGATTATCAAAATGGTCGATTATGCTCATCACTAATTACAACTTATTTATTATTAGAATCTGCATAAATTTCAAAAATGTTGGTTGTAATTAAATATATATAAGGCATGCATAAAGGCTTACGGAGAATTACTAGAGGAATTACTTAGATGTTGGATTTACTAAGGAATTACTATGATATACTGAGATTGAGAGGGATGTAGCAAGATTTATTCAGCATTACAGGATTTACTTCAAAAAAAAGGATGCAGAGGTCCATTTTTTAGTGAGTGTTCCCTATCGCTCTAAACAAAACTGTGTAGCGTAAAAAATATTACCCTGCTCTTTTTTCCTGATTACACTGTATATTTTTTCGTAGCACCCATTTGTTTTCAAATTACAAAACGATATATTTTCATAAAATTTATGACCACTACTGAATCATTGTCGGTGCGTAATTTTTAGCGAACTTTTACGGTTACATTTTGATCACTTAAATTCAAATATTGAGTTTGGTTAATTAATATTGAAACGCCCTGTATAAAGTTACTAAATGAATTTCACCATGATCTAATAATTTGGAATGAAAATGGTATAGACAGCACATTTTAATAAAAACTAAATTTTGTCACTGCGTGGTAGGATAATTTACCTTCACAAATTAACTTATGCAAATCAATTCACATAAATTATCTCCTTATTTAAATTTGTTTTAAATGTTACATCATAATTTATGCAGAGTGGTCAATGACCGGTGCACCAGCAACATCTGAATACCTAGTGTAGCCGCAAAATACAGCAAAAGCTACTAAAGTGGCTAATGTTTTCCATTGAGAATTGTATTTTCTTAAATATTCTTTTTTTGGTCAAAACTAGAACTTTTTAGACACCATAGACAGGCCTAAGAAAGGTGGTGTTCACATAGTTTTGAAAAAATTTACAAATATGGTAGAGTAGGGAAAACTTTAAGTGTTAAGAAATGATTTATAGTCCAGTCCGCAGAGGCCGAAAAGTTACTGTTGGTAAAATTTTCTTGATAACTCGGAAATAACTACACAGGAATACTTTAAATGATGAGTACAATAACAGGCTAATTTGCTGACAAAGTATTTTATCAGGAAAA